GTTTTCTTTTGAAAATCGACGCTACTCATCGAATCCAAGTATTAACTTCCAGAACTTTGGCCTTAATCCGCAAAATGTGTCAACGGAGTTGATGGAACGATGCGCCACGACGATAGTGATAATCGATACATACCCGCATTTAAGCTTGTTTCTGCAATAATTGGAGTGGACGACTAAGGGATCGTTCTCGGAATTCATGATCTTGCAGATCATGCAGCAGAGACCGTCCTTTGGAGGTATAGTGACGTTGAAGATTTTCACGGTGGAGACCATAATTGTAGCTTTTATCAGACGATATAGAAAATCAAATCGTTCTGCAATGGAATACGAAATTTATATGAAATAAAGAGAGAATGTTATTTGTATTTTTATAAATTTACTGAAGACCGATTAATCTAATTAATATGAGATAAAATAACAATATAAGTAATATATTGTAATTCATTAATTGCGCTAGTAACAAAAAAGAGACAGCCACTTAATTAAGGTAAAGTTACTCAGAATCATGATTTTGATAACATATGTCATCGGCGCGGTGTCCGTTTAATATGCATATTTTACCTTTTTTTTTTATTATTATGATTCTCGAAATGTTCTGCTTTATTATCCCTCGTAGTTTGCTGGAAAGTAGAAACCAGCTTTTGCTTTTTGCAAACGTACGATTGTTGGAATAAAGTTCTTTCCAAAGTGTTTGTTAAATGCGTATGATTAATTGCGCATGGATTTCGAAAATTCGAAATTTGAAAGACCGTTTGTGATTGGCTGAAGCTTTTGACAAGAGTGACGCAACGACTAATTTTCACTTGTGCTTTCTGCAATGCACACAGTTTTTTATATATCAATTTATTATTATTAGACCGTAATAAAGTTATGTTCTTTGTGACTATTCTGTATTATATTTTCTACACCTAAAATGAAATAAATAATTAAACATTGGATAGAAAAGAGGAAAGAGGAAGATATAAAAAATACAGTTAAGTCCAAGACACAATTGACTGCGTTCGGAAACTCGCTCGGATCCGTCCTTGTTTAACATTAAATGTTAAACAAGGACGGATGATGAACTCGAGGCACCAGAGGTATCCGAGAGAACTTTCCGAACGCAGCCAATGCGAGGGAATAGCGATAGCGATAGGAACATGACTTCAACCTATCAGAAATCGGATGTATCGGAATACACAGTTTCTGATAGGTTGAAATCGTGTTATTCCTATCGTTATCACTATTCCTCGCATTGTGTCTTGGACTTTATAAAGAATATCTGTAATACAGTGTAGGCAACCTATTCACTGTTGCTCGTCGTTGATCGCGAGATCTTAACCTCATAATCGGGAGATCCTCATTTATTAATAAATAAAGACGATATTTATTTAAAATATGCTGAAAATATTGCGAGCTGCTGCTCGTTCGGAAAGAACTTGCGCAACAAAATCCGAGGGACTTAGAGAATGTAGCAATCAGGTGTGATCATGTTTCTAACCTCTCTTTATATCTGAAACAGAATTGTTTTGAAGTAGGTAGATTTAGTATTTAATCAATTATGAACGTGTTTATAAAACGCTTTAAGGATTATTATTACATTTTATGGAAAGTTTTATTCATTATGTTAATTATTTAATCAAATTGGTTAGCAATTTTTACATTCATTACATATTTTTTTATTTTGCAGATAACGCAGATTAAATATCCAAAGAGAATATTCTCTGGAATTCAGCCTACAGGAAGCGTGCATTTAGGAAATTATTTCGGTGCCATTCAAAGATGGGTAGAATTACAGAACTCTGGCGAAGCATTTCTGTGCAGCATAGCAGATCTGCATTCTATTACTTTGCCGCAAGTAAAATAATGGCAGATTAAGTTCCTATACTCTGACATTATTATCTGCTGACAATACACAATTTGTAGAATCCCAAAAAATTGAGGGAAAATATCCTGCTAATGACCGCGACACTGATAGCATGTGGCATAGACTATAAAAGGAGTATTTTGTTCCAACAATCCAAAGTATCCATGCACGCGGAACTGTGTTGGATCTTAGGTAGTATCACTACTATGGCAAGGCTAGCGCATCTACCACAATTCAAGGAGAAAAGCGAATCCTTAAAGAATATACCTCTAGGCTTGTACATCTATCCTGTTCTACAGGCAGCTGATATATTATTATATAAGCAAGTATCTTGACATTAGATATATTAGGTAATTGTTAATTGTATGTCAGTACTTCAGGGAGTTGATTATGTCTCTTAAAACAAGATAAAAAAATAAGGGAATAAATCTAGAATTGGAAACATGAATATATATACAGGGTGTTTCCAAATTAAATGGCAAAACTTCGGGAGCGTGTAGAGGAGTAAAAAACTAAGAAAAAAAGTCCTATAGACATATGCTCGTTTTTGCTCCGTTTCAGAGAAATCGAAAAAAAATGTTTACATTTCTTGCCATATCTAACACCGACATATTTGATTACATTTTCCACTTTCTGTTATGAATTTGTCAGTCGCTCTTTGAAAGCCTTTAACAGTAGATGAATTTTGTCTTTTGCAATATGCCGCGTACGTATTCTAATAGTGAATATGCTGATATGGTTTTTGTATACGGTTTCTGCAACGGTAATGCTTTAAAGGCGGTGCGAGAATATGCACGACGATTTCCAAACAGAAGAGTGCCAAACCGAAGAGTGTTTATGTTGACATTTAATAGATTGCGAGAGACTGGAACATTTTCAATTCGACAAGAAAACAACCGATTTCAAGCAGCGTTACGAAGAGATTTGCAGGCAGGGAATCGTATTTTACAACATTTTGACAATCATCCTGAGACC